ACCAGTGTGCAGAGACAACAAGGGAAGGCACATGCATACATGATCATGTTCAAAGCATGGGGGACCAGGCTGGCTGTAGACAGTGAGATGGGAGTGGTTTGGAAGTCTGGGGAACAACAAGACTTACCACAAACTCCCTAGAGACAAATACTTGGAGATTTGATTTGTACCTCAGGTTTCTAGCTAAAAATTTATATTTGAAAAGCTGCGGTATGCAGGCCACAGAGCTCCTTTTCTCACTGGCCTCCTGATTTTTGAGCCCTGATTTGGAGAAAAGAACATAGACTCCTGAACAGCCTGGGTGAGACTGATTTGTCCCCGATAACCACAAAACCTGGCACTTGAACTGACTGAGAACGCATTCTGGAGAGTTCAACCACACTGAATCCCAGGGAAGCGACTGGTTTTCCTCATTTTATGTATCCTTCTGCCGCTTGCTCTTAGATTGTTTTAGTGCACAGACTGCCAGTCAGACATTAAGATGAAAATGAATATGCCAGGTGTGTGTGTGTGTGTGTGTGTGTGTGTGTGTGTGTGTGTGGCTCACACCTGTAATCCCAGTCATGGGGCAACTGAAGCAGGATGGTTAGGAGGTTAAGACCAGTCTGAGCTACATGGGGGAAAGTCTGTCTCAACAAAACAAAACAAAACAAACAAAACCTCCAATAAGAAAGAAAAGGGAGGAAATAACAGTTTGCATCAATAACAGTCTTGTGAGCCATGAAAGCGTTAGCTGCGTTCAAGTGTCATAGTGTTCAGGGGGAAAAGTTAATTACAAAGTACAAAGATGAGTTTGGGCATCTGAGTTAGGGCACTTCTTTATTTGCCGTGTTTGTATATATTTCTAACTGTTCCAGCAGGAAGGCGAAGGCAGCATCGCTGGTGAAGTGAAAGATGAGTGTGTCTTGTTTTCAGAAGCCTTATGTGGGTCAGTCCCTGAACATTATGTCCAGATCCTGAAGTGTTCTCTAGAGCCTTGGGAAACCATAGCCAACTCTGAAGAGCGCTCTGCAGGACAGAGGGGGCTGCATCAGCTGTTGGAAAAGGGCTGATGTTAAGAATCCCTGGACGCTGTAATCATTTTCCACTCTACCTCTTCCCCTGCGAAAAGTACAAACCTGATGGAGCTTTTCCTTAACCAATACTTTCCCAAAGACTTAACGTTTATACAACAGCTTGATATAAATCCAGTCTTGCATCCGCCATTCCATGGCAGGCAAAAAAACCAAAACAAAACATTTCCACTTAAGGTTAGAGACAAGGTCACACCATTGAGCCTGAGCTCTTTGCAAATGCTGTCTTGCTTGATTCCCCTAATAATGGTCAGCACAGTCATTTCCTTTGAGAAGTGGTAAGGCCTTGGACTTGGACTTGCATTATCTCAATTCTCAAGAGACTCAGTCTCACACAACCTAGACGGCCAACTTATTAATTGGAGAATGAAAACCCAGAAGGCTGAGCTGGTCAAGCACAGCATCTCCCTCCAGAAGCAAAGCACTTTGCCCAAGAGGGCTTGCTGTGTGTGGCCTTGCAGCCAAGCAAACCAAATGATTTTTATTCAACAGTCAGGGAACTAGGGGTCAGGCAAGCACACCCCACCAGCCCAGTGGCCAGGCTCCTGGACAGAGATTGCACGCCTACTGACATTCTCAGACTAAAACAGTACTGACAACAGCCCACACATTGGCTTTGCCTATGCACATGGTGAACTGTCTGCAAAGAGAAGACCATCCTAGGTGACCAGTGACTTTCTGTTTAGTAAAGGAGCATACACGCGAATAATTAATTTGGGAAAATGAGCAAATCCATCCATGGATTATAGAACTATTCCTCAGAGAGGAGTCCATGAGTGCATGGTGCCATTCTACAAAAACTTTCATGTTTTTGTGTCAGTAATGATCTAAATGCTGAATATAGGAATATACTATTTCAAGGATGTCCACCTTATTAGTGAGAGCGGCAGATCTGAATGCTATGAGACAGCAAGGCGGGCCAATGATTGTATGTGAGTATAGCAGGCAGTATGATGACTGCGGTGAGAAGCAATTTAGTTTCAGGCATCATGTTAAGTTACTGCTCTAAGCCTGCAATTTTTATCAGCTTTGAAATTGTTTTCTCTGTGTAACATCTCTGGCTGTCCTGGAACTCGCTCTGTAGACCAGGCTGGTCTCAAACTCACAGAGATCCACCTGCCTCTGCCTCCCAAGTGCTGGGATCAGAAAAGTTTGGTTTTTATTTGTTTTGGCTTATATTAGTAGAAGATCTATAGTTATTCAATTCTATATACTTTTACACATTCAAGAACCATCATAATGAACCAATATAGATAACTCTAGTGGCCATCAGAGAGTTTTTAAATTTTAAATAATTTATTTATTTGCAGGGTTGGGATTAGACCTAGTGCCTCAAAGATTGCTAGGTTCAATGCTTAATCTCTATTGCCAACAAGGCTGGATTTGGAATCACCTAGGAGACAGACCTCTGGGTATGTCCTAGACACACTTCCAGAGAGGGTTAACTGAATGCAGAAAATCCATGCTTCCATAGTCTAAGGTCCCAGGCTGAACAGAAAGATGAAAGGTAAGCTGGATTAGTGCCTGCATTCTCCCATCTGTTCTGATATGTGGAAACGTTAGCGAGCAAGCCCTGCTGCCACAGAGGTGCCGGGTCCACTGCCATGCCTTTTCCTCTGTGCCACAGTGTTTTGTCACAACAATAGAAAATTAACTAATACAGGAAGTAATCGTGTGTTATATTTGGGACAGGCATCACCCATGATCTTCAGTCCTTCATGGGTAGTCATATGGATAACGGATCAGTAGGGGAAGGAACAATAGCCTTGAAGCTAGGTAGGAAGCCATTGAGCCATTCAAGACAGGAATTAACAGTGTTCTAGACTAGAAACATGACAACAGGAGTTGAAAGAGGTGAGCAGATCAGAGATTCATTTAGGAGACATCTGGAGTAGGAATAATAAAAACCTAGAGACAGATATTGGGGTTAAAGTTGAAGATCAGAGAAGCAAAGCAGCCAGCCACTAGAGAGTTCTCACCTCTACCAATGCTCAGACTGAAGGGCGATCCTGTCCTCTGATTGTGTCTCCAGACTGCACCGCTCCTCAGACTGCCTAGACTGCAGAGTGAATACTCTGAGACTCTGAGCTCCTGTCTTACTTTCCTCTTTAGTGCTGGGACTAAAGCCGTGCACGACCACCACTGTCCAGCTTCTGTGGCTAACTGGTGTGGCTGTGGCTAGCTTTGCAGTCTGGTCTTCAGGCAGGCTACATTAGATGGTAAACAATATGTCACCACAGACATCTGCTGGATTTGCTGGTGGAAGGAGCTGTGTAAGAGTTAAGGGAAGCTAAGAGATCAAGAGTGGCTCCTGAGCTCTGAGCCAAGGCTCCGAGTAGATGGAAAGGACTTGTGTTGACACTAATAAGCTGCACAGGGAGGTTGTCCTGGCTTCATTTCTGTGACTGTGATAAAAACACCCTGACAAAAATCAGCAGAGAGGAGACAGGGCTCCTTTCAGTTTATAATCCTGGTTGTAGCTGGGAAGCTACTTTGTCTAGAACTTGGAACAGCTTGTCACGTCGCATCCACAAGTCCGGACAGAGAGAAGGACATGCCCATGGGCTTGAGAGCTTCAGTCTTGCGTAGTTTAGGACCCCCTGCCTAGGGAATGATGCTTTCCCCAAAGTTGGCGGGCTCCACTACAGTTTACTTAATTAAAGGCAAAACTCGTGCAGACTGGCCACAGGCCAAACAGATGCAGACAGCCCTTCCCTGAGACTCTCAGGTGATGCCACAGTGTATCAGTTCGACAATTAAAGCTAACCGTCATAAACACAGTGTATCAATTCGACAATTAAAGGTCATAAACACAGTGTATCAATTCGACAATTAAAGGTCATAAACACAGTGTATCAATTCGACAATTAAAGCTGTCGTAAGGGCGGCTGGAGTTGAAGTGTCACAGCTGACAAAAATGAAATTTTGTGTAATATGAAATTGACGGAGTTGTATATATGAAGCCTTAGTTCGGCAGAGGGACCCAGGGTTATTAATATTTCTCCTTTGGAAACTATCAGATTTTAAAAACCTCATTGGTGACAGGAGGGACTGCCCTGTGCATAGAGGTGTGAGAATGCTTGAGACAAAAGAACCTTGTGGAACATTTAAGGAAATAAGATGCTAAATGGAGCAGGTATAAGTTTAATTAGTGAGGTAGGAGAAAGAGCCGAAAACCAATGGTGTTTCTGGAGGTTTCTTTTCTTATTGTTTTTTGTCTTATATTGCTTTGTTTGGGCATTTTAAAAATTACTGGACTTTTGCCTATATATTATGCTTTCTGATTTTTTATTTTAGTGTGTGCATGTGTGCATGTGTGCGTGTGTGCGTATGTGTGTGTGTGTGTGTGTGTGTGCGCGCGTGTGTGTTTCCATATATTTTCTTGTTTTTAAATTCTGGTTTGTTTGGCTTTTATTTTCCTGTTTGCTTTCTCAAGGAAGAAGGAAAGAAAAAAAGAAAGAAAGAGAAAAGGAAAGAAAGAAAGAAATATTAGTTTGAGTTACAAAAAGAAATGTGCATGTGTTTATAGTTTGGAGATACTACAGAGAAAACACTAGACAGTGGCAGAGCAAGCTGGTTAAGCTCAGGATTTCACATGTGCTTCTCCAAATCACTGGTGGCCAGACAAAACAGGTGGCTAAAATTGAGTCAAAAAGGTCACGTGAGATGAATTATCAGTTAAGGCAGCGGCTAGTTTTATAACTGATACACCTGGAAATCTGACTTAAGGCAAAAATCTCTCTGCAGTGATCAGATGTTGGTGCAGATACTGATAACTGATCACACTGCTGAGAATGTGTGACTGTTAAACAAACCCTTAGCTCCAAATGGGACATCGAAGACAACCTCCCCAAAGGCTTAGGGACTGTCATGAAAAGGGCATGAAGAATAGAATAAAGAGAAAAAAGATGGGAAGGAAGAGAGGATATGAAGGAATATAAGCGCAAGAGGACGGGGAGGCCTGCTGTGAAATGCTTCATCCGGACACGACAGGGCCACCGCACTCACGAACTCAAGGCAGATTCAGCTACCTGCAGGAGCACAAGCCAACAGTACCACTCAGCATTCCCACAGGCGGCCCTCATTGAGCCCAGCGGATTACACAACAAAACCAAGAACAGAACGTAAGACGTGAGAGGCGAGGGGGAACGTTTTGGGGGTGCTTGTTGGGAATGGAAGGGGAGAGTAGAGAGTCGCTATGATCAAGACACATTGTTTACATGTAATTAAAAATCCTATGGCAATAAAAACATCTGTGGCTTAACACAGCTAGAGTTTCTTTCTCACTCACATTGCAGCTGAGTGTTCTCCAGTGGCATCTTCCTGGTGGCGTTCTTTTTGTTTGTTTTATTTTTCTTATTCCATACTTATTTATTTGTTTATTTTATATATATTTGTGTGTGTGTGTGTGTGCCCACATGCATGGGCATGGTCTGTGTATGCATGCATGTGCACATGCGTTCACATATGTATCATACAGGTGGAGGCCAGAGACCATCTTGCAGGAATTGGTTCTCTCCTATTGTGTGTGTCTTAGGGATTGAACTCAGGTTGGCTTGGCTGCAGACACCTTTACCAACTAAACCTTCTCTCCAACCTGTTTTTGTTTCCTGGGGTAGGATCCTACAATGTAGCTCAGGCTTGCCCTCAACTCAAGGTGCTTTGTGAACTTCGTGACTTAGTCTGTGTGGTTCTGGGATTGCAGGCATGTGCCACACCTGGCTTAGCCATTTTCCTTTCCATGTGTTTCTGGTCAGTCTGGGACCTCTCCGGGGCTCTCGGCCCCAAATCAGTGGAAGCTAAAAGTCCTGCTGTGTTTGAAAGGGTTCGTGACCCAGGCCAGTGGCTAGAACTCAGACCTTGGCGTCAGTTGGACAGAAAACAGGGATTACGATGCATGGAGAAAGCAGAACAGGCTTGTCCCAACGTTTTCAAAAGGATTTCTGGTTGGGAACACTTGAATCTCTGGGCTGCATCCAGACAGGATCCTATGCAACAGAATTCCAGACTCTGATGGGCTAGATGATGCCGTTCCTCCAGCAGGAGCTCGTGGACTATGGCTTTGAGTATGAAGGGACACAGGGAGGCTCAGGACCTGGAGCTGAGGCTGCAGCTCCGTAAAGCATTGAGCTCCGCAAAGGCGATGGGAGGCTGAGGTGTGGGATGGAAAGTTGTGGTGTCTTGCTTAGAGGCTCCATGTGGATGTCTGGTACAAGCGGGTACAAGGGTAACTTTAATTCCAATATAAAATCTCATGACTGGGAGGAGAGCAGAAAGCTACCAAGTATTAACGTCTGAAAATCGCAGTAGCAAGCAGATCCCATTGGCTTGCTATGATACAGGATGAAATAGTTCCATCTGAGAAAACAAAACAAAACATTCTATGGGCTCTGGAACCAAACACAGTCAAACGACAAACTGTAAGGACAGTATGACTTGTGGCAGCAGTCTCTCTTCAAAGTCGGGTTTCACAAGTAATTAGAGTAGGAGGCCTCATTGCATGATGCATGGATCCTTCCAAATGCAGCTGCCGCAGACACCAACTCTCTTCATTCAACTTCAGTTTCACTCTGCTGCCTTGATGCAAATGAAAGTGTTAAACTAGAAGTTGTTAGCTGAAGACTTCAAGGCTTCATACACACCAGTGAAATGTCTTCATGTATTTCACAGAGAGAGTTCCTAGAAAGTCAGCCAAAAGCTAAAATATTGGGAAAATGGGGAGAAGAGAATCAGAGACACAAGAAGAGAAAGTGCATCTAAGTTTGCATTTGATAGTGTGGATAATATTAATTGATTTACAATACTTCTAAATAATAGGGAGAGATAAACAGTGTGTCGTTTTAAAACATTTAGTATTCATACACAAAGCTCAGGAGCAAGTTTTTTTTTTTTGGTGACTTTGTCTTCACAGATTAAATTGGAGGAAAAGACCCCACTGCTTTTGAAGTATGTTATGGAAATAACTTCCTGTACTTTATAGTAAAACGCATCTGACCTTTAGGGAAGGATGTTTTCAACAGGCAATGGATTGGTGCCATTCCTCAGAGACTTTACTCAAAGTGTTTGCTGTGATCAAGTCTCCCTGGAGTGTCACCATTTCTGACAAAACACCAGGGTCCCCTATCAAAAGTCTAGGCTTGGAGTGTGCTGCCACAGTCCCTTATGGTCAAAAGGTATTGTGACTTGAGTGCATGACTCTCGATTAGGTGGCATACATAACTGTATGGGGGACACTGAGATCTAAAAGGTGTTTTTCCTGTCACAAATTGCTTTGACAGTTTATCCAGCCCATTTCAGACCTCCTTATATTGCAAAACGAAACTTATAAGAGGCCCCGTGCCCCTGTTCTTCTTTGTGACTTAATGCAAGGCTGGAGTGGGTTTTTGGGGCAAGAGGAGCCTTGGAGGGAAGCCATCAATAGAGCATTTACTATTCCCCCTACTTCCTTTCTTCAAAGTATTATAGCTGACGTCATTGCCAACCTCTGAAAGCAACACTTCTCTCCTGTGTGTTATGCCCACCACCATCAGATATTTATAGAAATAGAATAGTGTATCATCCCTTTGGTAAAGTTCCATGAAGCTGGTTCCAAGTGAAAATGAATAAATAATGTTTATCTAGGCCCCAAAGATAACACTAAAAAGCTAAAATTGATTCCTCCATCCGTTCTGTTATATGCTGACCATAACACACTTCCACTCTCGGGGTTGGCTTATTTTAAGATAAAATGGTTGAAGGGATGCAGAGAAAAATGAGAGAAAAATACCACTAATAGATATTGATTTTGTTGTGACATTAATTTGACAGCTTTGCAAACTGCATTTTAACAGCAGTGAACTAGTTGAGTTTCTGTGACTCAGTGAAAACTTATATTTATATATACACACATATAACATTAATTATATAATATATAAAGCTTATAATTTTGTTTCAGGGTCAGAAATATAGCCATGATTTGAAAATCCACTGCAATGATGTAGACACCCATTAGAAGTCAATTCTTTTTTTTCTTCCTTTTTTAAATTTAAGTTAGAAACAAGCTTGCTTCACATGTCAATCCCAGTTGCCCCCCCCCACGGGCTCCTGAGTCCTCTACCCAATCTCCACTCCAATCCCAAGGGAGGGTGAGGCTCTCCATGGGGGTGTCCATAGTCTGTCATTTCATCCAGGACAGGGTCTAGGCCCTCCCCCAAGAGCCCAGGCTGAAAGAGCATCCCTCATTGTGTGATGGGCACCCAAAATTCATTTGCATGCCAGGGATAAATACTACCCAAGGCCCCATAGATTATCTAGGCCTCCTCACTGACACCCACATTCAGGGGGTCTGGCTCAGTCCAGTAGTCAGTTATTAACAATGAATATTCTAACTGCTTATTCATGATAGCCCAGGAATGAATACCAGTCTCAAGCAACCTGCAAGAATCGCTTCTAAATCCTCCCGCGTTTTCCACGGCCAGGGTTCCTGTGTATTGAAGGTGGGTGTGCCACATCATACGGCTCTCGTTACGGTAGACTTTAAAAGTCCAGGCAGGCTGCTGGCAGAATCAGCTTCAGATTGTTCTTCGGATCTCTTTAAATTGTGAACACTCAGGACCCAGAAGGCGGCCAGCATGTGCTTCTTTGCTCCCCGGGTTTCGGGGAGCAGTCTTCCTTTCACCTGCCTATCCCGGCTGCAGGCCTGCTGCTGTGCATTTGGTAGGTCTTCTGTAAATGTGTCTGGGGAAAGATTAAACGGGTGACTGAATAAGGCCTTCGGGACGAGGGATGGCTGCACGAAGTCATTTCCAACCCATTAGGATTCAGGCTGGCGCATTCTGAAGCTGCTGTAGTCAGCATCCATTGATTCTCACATCCACGTTCTGGTGCAGATGCAGCCCTGTGCTTTAAAGTCTCTCCAACAAGAGGAAAATTAGCCCCGATCACATGCTGGTGTAGTTTGCAAAGTGTGTTTACTTTTTCTAGAATATGAAGTCTATGCCACGTGACACACATGGCCAGATTTCAGTAAATACTGCAGGAATGAACTGGGAGCATCCTGGAATAGCAACGTCGCCTTCTGTGTTGTAGCCTTGGGAAAGTCACCGCAACCCTGTAGATCATACATTCCTTGATTCTAAAATGAGCATTTTAGAAACATGCCATCCCTCCTGTTTAAGAGTCTCGAAAGAATAACTGGCTGCAGGGATTAAGAAAGCCTGGATAATCCAAAGGAAATTCTCTCCCACATAGACTCCATTAGGAAGAAACAGGGGAGAAAGCTACTTTCTATATATTATTTTAAAACTTTGCAAATACCAGTGAGATATGGAAATACTACTATAAACACATTAGTAACATCTTGTATGTGAAATAATACTGTGTAGGAGGGAAAAGTTAGCTTCAGAGAGGCTCAGGATTTGTCCAGTATCCCAGTCAGTGAATGATGGACCCCCAAATCCAATCCTGATGTCTTCAAAGCCTGTATGTCATCCTTCATGACTAGACCCGCTTAGATTCTGATAAGACATCAGTTTACACTGAAAGTGGGGTTGCTATTTTCATCTTCTGTTTCTACCTCTTGTATTTTTGTTGTTGTTGAGTGAAAGCATAGGGGAGGCTTGCTAGGAATTCATTTCCTCATTCTGTGTCATATACTGGAGCTCCGAGACGGATGTAGGACCCTTGGCATATTAAAATGAGGGAACAAGACTGTGTGACAAGTAAGATACAAGGTGGCCCTGGGAGTCAGGCAGTAACGGTGAGAAAGACTGAAGGACCCTGTGGACGGCTCTGGAAAAGCCTGGCGGGACCCACAGGAGAAGAAGAGTGCCTTCCCGACAAAACGGAAGGGGAAGCCAGGTGAGCAGGAAGACGCTGGAAGCCAAGAGAGGAGACGGCCGCTCTGTGGTGGTCACACAGGAAAGCTGCATGAATATCTGTGTCCTGTGGGATGGGATGCTGGGAACCACAGTGTCTACCGTGACAGGAAAGGCTGCTGCCGAGCTGTACCTCAGGTACCGTCAGACCCCACACAATGTTCAAACCTTTCATTAACTGAGCTTGTTTTAATGTGTCCACTTCCAATACAACCTTTTTTTTTTTAATAAGGTTTTGCTGTGTAGTCCAGGCTGGCCTGAAATTCACA